TAGCTACCATATTACCCTAAACCCAAAACCCTAAACCCTAAACCCCAAACCCTAAACCCTAAACCCTAAACCCTAAACCCTAAAAAGCCTAAACTGTGTTTAAGAAATGCGGTGTAGGGTCTAGTTTGCAGAGTGGTTGAGGATTTTCAGAAGCTCAAAGGCTCTCAACAAAGTCCTGGGTCCCTGAGGCTTTAGGGTTTCGGGTTTAGGTCTCAGGGTTTCGGGTTTAGGTCTCAGGGTTTCGGGTTTAAGTCTCAGGGTTTCGGGTTTAGGTCTTAGGGTTTCGGGGTTTTGGTCTTAGGGTTTTGGTCTTAGGGTTTAGGGCGTAGGGTTTCGGGTTTAGGTCTTGGGGATTCGGGGTCAGGTCTTAGGGCTTAGGGTTTCGGGTTCAGGGCTTCGGGTTTAGGGTCCCTAAACCCTAAACCCTAAACCGAGGGTTAAACTGAACGCCCTGTGCCACATAGCATTGTCGGAACCCAGGTCCACCTTGCTTGAACCCTTGGAGGGGCCTCTACTTGGAGGTTCATGGGTGGGTATAAGTGGGGTTCCTGTAAGGGTTCGTTTAAAGAGTTCTATAGGGTTTAGGGTTTAGGTGTAGTTCTAAGTGGGGATATAAGCCCCCCAATATGGGTTATAGCTCTAAACCCTAAACCCTAAACCCTAAACCCTAAACCCTAAACCCTAAACCCTAAACCCTAATCCCTACCTTACTTATAACCCCACTTGTAACTACCCATGAACCTCCAAGTAGACCTAGCCTCTCCGACACCTCCAGACAAGAGCCCCAACCTTAAAGAGCAAACGTGGAAAGCCTAAATCCCCTAAACCCTGAACCCTCAACCCTAAACCCTAAACCCTAAACCCAAAACCCTAAACCCTGAACCCTAAAGCCTCAACCCTAAACCGACACCACCAGTAACCTTTAGAAAGTAGCCCAGGCTTCGACGTCAGCAAGCTGAGGGTCGAGGATTTCTTGGAGCATCAGGGGCCCGCTGGCTCTTAGCCTGAGGGGTTGTTTAGGTTTTAGGCTTTGGGATCGTCTCTTGTCAATTAGTATAGTCTCATGTAGGGTTAGGTGTCTGGCGAATAGGAAATGGTATCCCTTTTTAGAGTTTTGTTAGAGAATAAAAAATATCCTTACTCCTCTAGGATTTTATTTTTGGTGCACAAGGGTTTCTAGGGTGTATAGGTTGGGAGTCTCCCCCGCCCATTAACAGTCAAATACTACTTTCCCTATATGTACCACCCCAGAAAAAGCACAAATACTTGGAGTCCTCCGGAGTTTCCGGTTTTGGGGGGCTCCAACTGTTCAGCAGCTT